AAGTTATTTATATATGTTTTGTTTAGCTTGTAGTATTAAAAGAACACTAAGAGAAGTGAGGTGTTTGGAATGAAAGTGGCCTTCCTTTTCTGTACTCTTGCACTCCCTAGTTAACTCTATGCTGTCTCCACTCCTCTCTATTAATGGGCTTTTCCTCTCTCAATTGTCACCAATTAATCACCGTGTACATTCTGATCTCCATTTTTAAAAGGTGTATGTCACAATAAGGCCCCTAGGACAATAAGAAATGCAAAAAAAAAAATCACTCATTTCTGAATTGCCCCCCTTAAAAATCAACTTTCCTCCCAACCTGGGAACTAGGGGCCTAAGCTTTCTTCAGAATAGACATGACAAGTTTGTGCTGTACACTTTCTATCTTGTCTGTCACAGAATGTCCTTAACCTAGAAGAAGAACCCTTGTACGAACTGCACTTGAAGCAATAACATTTGCCTTTCTTCAGACATATTTCAGATGACACAAACCTGAGAATCAGGGAGTTGAAAAGGACAAGGCAGCCCGTCCAAACTTTCTGCCAAGGGCAAGACTGTCTATCCATCAATAAAGCAACAAATCCTTCCCACATGGAAACCAGCTAGCACATTGGATTTTTTTTCTCTTTGCCTGTAAAATAACCTTTCATGAATCTCATTAGAATGTGTGACATAATGTAAAATAAACCATGTGTAGTTCATGTTGGATCAGCCCACACACTGCCTTGCCAGAGAAAGAAAATATACCACACAAGTGAACAACAAAGAACAAGTAGTTTACTCTTCACAATTCAGAACAACATATGTACAATGTGATCAGTTTCATCAACTCACATAATGTCCTTTTATGAGAGATTTAAAGTTGTCTTTCTTTGTCCATGTGGATAAACTCCTTCAGCAGCCCATGAAACGAGAGCACACTCCAAACTCTTTCTCTCTCTGCTTCTCTCTTCTTCTCACTCAACACCTACATAGCTCAAGCCTGAACAAAAATGTAACAGTACCCAAAAGTCCCAGGTTCAGCTCTCTTCTCGGGCATTGCCTGACCAATCAGCTTCATGCATCTTATTTTTCAGTTCTTACACCCAATCCTGACCCAATTGTCTGACCATTCCCCGCAAGGGAAGGTCAGACATCTTTTGGAGGACAAGCACCATGGGATGGCAAAGTTCCTTACAGTGGCAGCAAGACTGAGAAAGAGCCTAGTCTCCGATCAAGGTATTACCTCACACTGTGTGGTATGTGTCTGTATAGTATATTTCCTCGGTTACGAGGGATCTGTAAACTCCTGTATGTTTATTATTTATTTTTCAGTTGGCACACACACACACATTCACTGATCCCTTGCATGCTCCAAGAGAAAGTTGCTTCATCACACCTTGGACCACAAGGAACAATGCCCAAATAAAACCACAATCACTTAACAATGCCCCTACACACATAACAATGGAACAAACCATAGGTTACAGAAGATGTCTAATGCTCTCTTTTGTCTTATTCCTGGGAATCTGCCTCATCTATAGCACATATCTGAACCCCATCTGTGAATCCTTCATTGTATGTAACTGTGTCTTTTCTCCACTGACCAGCACCTCCATTTTCTAGTTGGCATTGAGCCATCATGATTCATCAACCACTCCTCCTGCTGTCAGGCTGCGGATCCTAGCCAGCACCCTCCAAGACCAATGGGAAGCAGCACAGCCATTTTCAGTTGTTCTGGACTACTATAAATAACCATGTGTTCACAGTTATGGTATGTCAGTACTTTGAGCGCCAGCTCTGCTGATAACCCCTCTGGTTATTGAGAAATGAAGACTTCTGTTCTGTGCTTCTTTTGACCTTCTGGCTGCTTTCCAGGCTTTCGAATCCATAATTTAGTGGAGCTGAAATCACACAAGACTTTGAGGATCGGTGTCAAAAAGCTACTGCCATTGCCATTTTCCCACTCAAGCATTCAAAACAGCCAGGAAAGGCACTGTGTAGGAGTGCTTCTTTTCATGCTTCTGTTCATGCTTCTTTTAGATGCTCTTGGGACAGACTTGGCTCTTGTGTTTTGCCACTCTACTCAGAACAGTTTTAAATAAGAGTTAACACTGACTCATGGATATGTCGAATCTGTTTTAGGTGATTATTTCTTGACTGAAAATTCTAGATTTATACATGTATATGTGAAATTTGGTGGGTTTTTAAAAATGAAATTGTATACTAATTGTAACTGTGATTGGTGTTCAATGACATCACCAGGGTCTACTCCCTTTAACATCATTCTTGTAGGATTGGCAGGATCTGTCTCTTGTGACATCAGAAAGGGTCATCTTCAGGTCTCAGGGTGAAATTTCAGCAACCGGGATAATTCTGACTTGGAAGCAGTGTTGTTGTTTTTTTCCATGTCTGAAGCAACTTGAGAAACTGCAGGTTGCTTCTGGTGTAAGAGAATTTTGTCATCTGTAAGGATGTTCTCCAGGGAACACCCAAATGTTTAACCATCCTGTGGGAGGCATCTCTCATGTGCCCGCATGAAAAACTGGAGCTAACAGACGGCAGCTCACCCCGCTCCCTGGATTTCAACTGCCAACCTTCAAGTCCGCAGTTCAGCTGGCACAAGGGTTTAACCCATTGCACCACCACAGCTCCATGGTTATAAGGCCGAACTCCATTCATTGTACATGTGAAGTTTTATCTTATTACAGTCCAAGCAGTCCCCAAGTTATTAACAAGACAGGTTCTTTAGGTTTATTCTTAAGTTAAATTTGTATGTAAGTCAGAACAGGTATAACTCCAACCACATATTATATATATATATATATATATATATATATATATCTGTAATGTTCATTTGTGAGATTAACATAATGGGTGATGATGGATGATTTAACTGCTGACTGTAAAACATTTATTCCTGTTGTTGCTCCCTTAGCTGGTCACGGAAAAACAAGTTTTGTGTTTTAGCAAAACAGGCTTATTAACACACAAAAGCAACAAATAAAACCCATGGGAAAGGATTATGAGTCTCTTATGTGCCCTGCATGAAATAACTTGGAAAGCACTATAAAAAGGGGGGTGGGGGTGGAGATGTGATCTGCGTAAAGAAATAAATTTCGAAAAATGTATGTGGGGCTGCCTTTGAAGATGGTTCGGAAACTTCAACTAGTCCAACAGGTGGCAGCCAGATTACGAACCGGGGCGACATACAGGGAGCATACCACCCTCCTGCTATGCCAGCTCCACTGGCTACCGGTCCATCTCCGAGCCCAATTCAAAGTGCTGGTTTTGACCTATAAAGCTATACATTTCTGGCCCAGCTTACTTGTCCGAACGCATCCACCCCTACGTCCCACCTCGTAATCTAAGATCATCCGGGGAGGCCCTGTTCTCGCTCCCGTCAACAGCACAAATGTGTCTGGCGGGGACAAGAGACAAGGCCTTCTTGGATGTGGACCCCCACCTATGGAACACACTCCCAAATGAGGTAAGATCCGCTCCCGCCCTCCTGGCTTTTAGAAAAAAAATTAAAATCATGGTTCTGCCTTCAGACAGTAGATGTATGTAGCATTTTAGAGGGACATTGACTGGAATGGCAATTCGACTGACAAGACTATTTTATTGTTTTAATGCTGGTTGATTTATTTTTTTAATTGTGATTTATGTTTAATTGTGGTTTTACTATTGTTTGTATTGGCATTGTATCGGTGCCCATCGTAAGGCTTTGAATCTTGCCATTCTTTACGTGTAAACCACTTTGTGTCCCCCCCAGGGGAGAGAAAGGCAGCATATAAATACTGTAAATAAATAAATAAATATTCTAAAGCGGATCCTGTTATTATATCGCATCATCACGGCGACTGTCACTTATCACCTGGAGTGGCAGAGTACGAGCTATGAGCTGGGTTTTTTTGTGAGTGTAGACAGTTCCTCTGGAATTTCTCTTTCAGACCCATGTGCATTGGCTTTGTGGAGATCCTCTTTCTCAAGATGGCAATATATTAGATTATGATTATGAGTCTCTAATGTGCCCTGCATGAAATAATTTGAAAAGCACTGTAAAAAGGGGGTGGACCAAAGGGGGTTCCCCTTACCCTAACATTGTAACAAATCCTCTAATAAAGTATCTTCTAATTGTAACTTTTCCCTCTCTAGAGTGATACATTGTGTCCATTTGCTGCCTCTAACACTCTCTAGCATGAACTTTCCCTTTCCTGGGCCACAAATCACTGCCAGCTCAACCGGGATGCTTTTTCGGCATCCCAGGGAGGCTGAAACTGCATTCCTCTGAACCGCAGATACGGAAACCCATTGGGTCCCCGCATCCGTGGGTCAACAGATCGCTTCCAAATTGGTGTCATATTTTTCCTAGACTAATGATGGAGTTTGGAGAAAATAGGCCTTGACATTTAGGAGTTGTAGTTGCTGGGATTTATAGTTCACCTACAATCAAAGAGCATTCTGAACCTCACCAACGATAGAATTGGGCCAAACTTCCTACACAGAAAACCCTTGCCATGAAGGGACTCGCTGGCGTGGGCCTCCCTCCAGCCTCACGCGCTCTCCCTTCACCCTCACATGCGCACCATGCTGCCATGTGCCGAGCACACCTGCTCTCCCCTCCCTTCTTGGAGTCAAAGAAACAGCCCTCTCCTTGGCTGAGAGGCCAGCTGAGAGGCCGGCCAATCACTGTGAAGGAGGGCTTTTGGTGGGAGCCTTCGTCGTCTGTTTCCAGAAAGGAAGAGAAGGACAGGCGGAGAAATCTTCAGCCTTCTTTGCCAAAGAGGTTCCTAAGACCATCAGAAAAATGTGTTTTCTGATGGTCTTTGGCAATCTCTCTGAAACCCCTGTGACCCCCCCCCCCCCCCAGTGGTCCCAACCCCCTGTTTGAGAAACACTGCTTTAGCACATTATCTCTGTTGCTTCTTCCCTTGCATTTCACTTTGGATGTTCAGAATGAAGAGGATTTACAGAGAAAAACACACCGAATGTGCTGTATTTGTTATTTCATTCCTCACTACTACTACCAGTGATGCTTTTCCTGCATTTCACCAGAAGAGGGTAGAGTTTGAAAAGCACTTGACGTCACCCTGGAATTCCTATTGTGCTTAAAAACAGCAAGGGGAAAACAAGATCAACTTTCGCCTTGATATACTAGTATCCCTTGCTTGAAGGAGACAGTGAGGAGTTCAGAAAAAAAGCCCTGCATATCAGAAGAAACCCAACAGATTTCCCCCCTTGTGAAGCCAAAGCACAGCAACTGCTGCCTATGGGACATACATCTCTCTCACAACTGGCTGTGAGTTCACTCTTCTTCTTCTTCTTCTTCAGGTATAAGGCATTTGTTGACAGGCAAGATTCTCTGATGACAGACCAATGCCACTTCAGAAAAAAGGAAAAGCCCAAAACACTCTCCAGCACCGGGTGAGTTTCCTTAAGTGTATCTTCTACTATTTGTCTGAATCTTTTGGAGCAAAAGCTGTTTTTCACACAACTGTGGTCTCGAACAGAAGCAGCTGGAGAACTTCTCTTTACTGCAGCTTGTTGCATTCTTTGCAAGGTTTCGTAGCATGCAGATGTGCTGCTGTAACATTTTCTAGCCTTGGTCAAAAACTGTGCTGTTCAGGTTTTGCTTACACACACCTCACTGTCTCAGATTTCTTCCAAAACTACTTTGGTATATATTTGTAGAGAAGACGAGACTGCAATAACATTTAAAATGACAGATGACATCAGTTTTCAAGAGCTGGACAGTGATGGGTCAGAAAGCAGTGAAGAAATGGAAATTATCGTCAATGTTGGCGGAGTGAGGCAGGTGTTGTATGGAGATCATTTGAACCAGTATCCAGATACCAGACTAGCAAAGCTTATAAACTGCTTGCCAGGAGGATATGACACTATTTTCTCCCTTTGCGACGACTATGATCCTGGCAAAAGAGAGTTTTATTTTGACAGAGACCCGGATGCTTTTAAATGCATTATTGATTTCTACTATTTTGGGGAGGTGCACATGAAGAAAGGAATATGTCCCATTTGCTTCAAGAATGAAATGGAATTCTGGAAAGTGGACTTGAAATACCTGGATGACTGCTGCAAAACTCTGCTCAGTGAAAAGAAGGAGGAACTCGAAGAGATCGCTCGTAGGGTCCAGTTGATCTTGGATGATTTGGGCTTGGATTCTAATGAAAGCAGCTGGAAAAAGTGCCAAAAATTTATTTGGAAATTTCTGGAGAAGCCAGAATCTTCCTATCCAGCTAGAGTAGTAGCAGTCGTGTCTTTTCTGCTTATTCTTCTCTCATCGGTAGTGATGTGTGTGGGGACTATCCCAGAACTGCAGGTGTTGGATGAGGAGAGAAAACCGGTGGAGCACCCAGCTCTGGATAAGATTGAAACAGCTTGCATCATCTGGTTTACCCTTGAATATGTCCTTAGGCTCATCTCTTCTCCAAACAAGTTGAACTTTGCTTTGTCTTTCATGAACATCATTGACATTTTTGCAATACTTCCATTCTACATCAGCCTGATATTGACTCACTTGGGGACCAAATTGATGGAGTTAACCAATGTGCAGCAAGCTATCCAGGCACTGCGGATCATGAGGATTGCAAGGATTTTCAAACTGGCACGTCACTCATCCGGTCTACAAACTCTGACCTATGCACTTAAGAGGAGCTTCAAGGAACTGGGGCTTCTGCTGATGTATTTGGCTGTGGGGATTTTTGTGTTTTCTGCTCTTGGTTACACAGTGGAGCAAAGTCACCCCGAAACACTCTTTAAGAGCATCCCTCAGTCCTTTTGGTGGGCTATCATAACCATGACCACCGTGGGTTATGGGGACATCTATCCAAAGACAACACTGGGGAAGCTCAATGCTGCCATCAGTTTCCTGTGTGGGGTCATAGCCATTGCATTGCCCATCCATCCCATCATTAATAACTTTGTCAGATATTATAACAAACAAAGGGTTTTGGAAACAGCGGCCAAACATGAGCTGGAATTGATGGAGCTGTATGCAGATGAGAAGAAGAAGGGAAGTCACCAAGATGATGAATTAGGTTGTCACTTGGACAAAGAAAAGGGTGATTCCCAGTGGAGCAGCCGACCCAAATTCTCCTACAGTGATACCTTCCTTCACCTCCTTTTAGATGAACATCGCCACCCAAATAGGCTTCAGAGCTGTAAGTAGACTGTAAGTTGATTTCCATTCAGCAGATGGACAATCTCATAGAGAAGGAAGCAAAGGAACCTCCTCTTTCCCACTCACAATTCCATCTCAGTTTGGTAAGCTAAAACACAAAAAACAGTATGTCCAAATACGACATATCCAATTTCTTTGTAATCATTTCGGAAGGGAGAACAACTGTGGCAACCATGCTTGGTAAATGTATCATGTGGTTGTGAAGCCTTGTAAAGTAATTAAATTGTGTACAATAATAAACAAAGAATAGCAAAAGAGCATGTGGTGTACGCTTTGTCAGTTTCCTCTCCAGTTGGCAGGGGCTGTTTGCAAGTAGGCAAATGGTCACTCCTAGATCAGGTGCATTTCTAGCAAAATATTTCCAAGTGATCTTTCCCTTTACAGTCCCCACAGCCATTCAATGGTATGTCAGTGGTGCACCAAATCTGATATCACATCACTTTTAACACTCAAATCACTTTGTGATCTTTGCAATAGTTTTGTACCTCTGTTTGGATTGTTTGGCTGAAAGTAGGGTGTTGGATGCTACCATTTGTGAAGGATTTGGACACATTTGGGATAATTTGGGGGTAAAACATAAACAAAAATCATTTTAAGTTTCCCAAAATAAAAATGAAAAAAAGGTTTTATCGTTCTAGCCACTTGAAAATTGTGCTGGAAAGGTGGGGGTGGGGGGTGGGGGGGGGGAGTTTCATAGGGTGCCAAAATGAGATTCAAGGGCCTCATCTAGCTGCCAGGCTGCAATATTCCCACTTCCGATTTAAAGGGATGATGCTCTGAGAGATGAACCAGAAGTTAGTTAGTGTTTGGGCTGTAATGTCCGGCAAGATCCTATTTTCTTTGAGAAAAATATTGATTGCTCCAGAGAGATCTTCTAAAAGTAAAAGGATGCAACAGAAATATGATGCCAATGAGGAAGGCCATGAACCAAGTGTCATGGGGTTTGTTTTCCTAAACGATTAACCTTTCTGATATCAATCAATTTATTAATGCTCCGGCCAATGGATAGGGAAATCACATGCAACTAAAAGACCCAAGATTTTTAAAAACCTCCTTTCCCATTTTTAGAGAGTAATTTTAATTTTAGAGAGGCTTAAAATTTGCTGATTTCTATCCAAAACCTATTTATGTAATGTTTTTGTAAAGCCTTTGCTTCATGTACATAATCTGGGTGATTTATGAAACAAGATGTTTGGATCGAGTCTTTCCATTCTTACAGTCAAATAAAACATCTTATAAAATAAACAGGATTAAATGCTGCCAGTGCCATCCTGGTTTAAATCAAGATTATTTTATGCTGCTCAGAATTTAATGACTTGAATACATTTTTGCACCTCTTCAACCTTTTTTGTTAACCTTTTTGTTAACCTTTTTGAATGTGGATGCAAAGTATTTGGTGCCCTGGTAATAAGTAACATAGGCATTTTTTAAAAAAAATCCTTAAAATGTGCTCTTAGTATTTTTATACTAAGCTTCATACACCTACAGTTGTAATTTTACTGATATTAGTTTAACCGGATAAGCTTTAGCACTCAGTTTTCAAGTTGTAGTGGATCATGGTTTTATTCTTTCCGAGAACGAGCTCAGCATTTGGATATTTTGTTTTCTGAAGAACAGTGGAGAAAACATTTCATTCTTAGTTATCCCCAAAACCATTTATTTACTGACCTCATTTATAGTATTTTCCTTCAAAGAACACAACATGGTATATACATTTTTTCCAAAACAACCCAGTGAGATCTCCTAGTCTGAAGAATGGGTCAAAGCTGCCAGCAAACTTCATGGCTAAATAAGGAATTGAACCTGGGGGTGCACCTACACTGTAGAATTGATGAAGTTTGACACCACTTTAACTGCCACAGCTCAATGCTCTGGAGTCCTGGGATTTGTAGTTTGGTGGGGCACCAGTTCTCCCTGGCAGACAAGGCTATAGTAGTTCTATAGTTCTATACAGTAGTTATGCAATTGTGTAGTTGTAGTAGTTCAGTGGTTTCCAACCTGTGGTCCATGGACCACCAGTGGTCTCCAAGAACAAAAACATGGTTCGTGGCCTCAACATTACTACACTATTGCCTTGAAACTATGCAACAACGAGAGCAACTGGTCTTGTGAAACCCTCTTATAGCGCCAAGGCAATGAGGACATTGGGATGAGAAAGGTTGACTACCCACGAAAGATTACTACTATCACATCAGCTCTAGATTATTAAGTATGGTTTTCTGTGGGCGAACAGTTGGTGACTACTGCATAGCATATGTTCTGTATCAGAAACTAGAGCAGGTGTGGTCTATCCAATGCAATTTTCTGAATCGGCACCCCAAATAACCAAATCAAACCTAAAGTTGACCAAAAACTGATTCGTAACCCTTTTGGTACTAATGTTGGAGAGTAATCCCTGGTCAAAGTGGTCCCTGGTCAAGTGGTTCCTGGTTTTAAAAAAAGGTTGGAACCACTGTGGTAGTTTCTAAGTTCTGTTGTTCTGGAGTTGTGTAGTTCTTTGTTCCACAGGTCTGTAGTTCCTTAATTCTGTAGTTCCTTAGTCTGTCGTTCATTAGCTTTGTGGTGCTGTAGTTATGCAATTGTGTGGTTCTGTAGTTGTCCAGTTCTGTAGTTGCGTGATATGATGCTAGTTTTGATGTGGGTATGTGTTGCTGAAAAAAATGCTATTAAAGTAGAAATTGCCCATCCCCCCCCCCTCAGAGTGTTGTTTCTCAGTGAGACATTTCCACTCACAAAGGCTTGTAGAATTTGAAAGAACCATGTAATTATTAGGGAAGAAGACCTTGATCTTGTCTACATTTTTTACCCCTACCCCCTAAAAAGCAAAACAGATAGGGGACTGGCTGTCCTCATGATGCACAGTAACTTCCAGTAGGCATTGTAGAGTTTTTTTGCATTTTCTGAAAGGAAAAAAAACACACACACATTGATAAGCAGTAAGAAAATCCCAGTTTGGGTATTTAGAATAAATTTCCAGATTAAGAATTATTTTGATTCTTCAAATTCTAAGTATACACCATTGGCACCAGTTCCAGTCGATGGACTTTAATGTTACTATTAAAAAAATCAAAGTAGACATTGCAAACCTGCTTGCCTCCTATAGCAGTGTGTGCCTTCAATTCCTTATGGTTATCTCATGGTCCCATAAAGTTTTCTTAGGCAAAGAATACCCAAAAGTGGTTTTGCCAGTCCCTTCCTCTGAAATAGAACCTGGGATTCACTGGAATTCCTTCTGGGCTTGGAAACAGCCTTCTTTTCCATCCCCTGCTTTGCAGAACTGGAAATAGTTTCTTTGTGAACGGCAGTTCCCTCCATTCTCCAAATAGTCATGTTAAAGGGGATGATGGGAGTTGTAGCCCAAAGGAAGGTGCCTAAACATCTATGTTTTCTCCTTTCCAGTAGGGAAAAAAAATCAATTTTGGGAGTCCATTTCTCCAGCCCTTCACCCCCATAGTTTTGCACTATCTCTTACCGATGTTTTTCATCCAGCCCCAAAGGAGACACTTACTCCCTCCTTCCCTCCCTCCCTCATATTTCTCTCTCTTTTTGTTTAGTTGTTGTTGTTGTTGTTGTTGTTGATTGCTGCAGCCTGAGTGGCAGTACAGAATGCAGGCAGAAGATAACAAAGCTTTCTATGGGAAATACTTTTTTAAAATTAGAACCTCGGAGAAAACTATGCCAACTTCATAGTCAAAAAGCTATTTGAAAGAAGATGCTGGACACAGGTGACCTCATATTAATATATTTTCATTTTTTTCTCTTTGACAGATCCATTATTTGCTTTTGTGGAACAAAATATATTAATTTTGCCCAGGGCTGTAAAATTAATTTGTGCAAGCAGGTGGAAACCTAAGTAGATGGAATTTCAGGGCCTGTGTCCAATATGAATCCATTCAGACCAATGCCAAAGATGTATGGTGCATAATTTTCAGAATCTGGAAAGGGTTTTTATTAATATTATAATTCTCAGAATGCCTCAGCTAATATTGCCAATGTCTTTGCTGGTTGGAGGATTTGGGAAGTTTTACAATGGTCAATAAAAGACATGTAATGCTGAGCCAATCTAATTCTGAATTAATGTGGTATATGTATGTTTCAGTATTATCATGGGACTAGTACCTACAGTTTTATTTATCTATGTGTGACAAAATATATCCTCTTCTGTGTATTTTCTAGGTCCCCCAGTGCAGTCCTACAGTATTCTTGGGCTTTTTTTTTTGTCGTGTCAGGAGTGACTCCTGGTGTGAGAGAATTGGCCGTCTGCAAGGACGTTGTCCAGGGGACGCCTGGATGATTTTGATGTTTTTATCATCCTTGTGGGAGGCTTCTCTCATGTCCCCGCATGAGGAGCTGGAGCTGATAGAGGGAGCTCATCCGCCTCTCCTCGGATTCGAACCTGCGACCTGTCGGTCTTCAGTCCTGCCGGCACAGGGGTTTAACCCACTCTGCCACCGGGGGCTCCATGGGCTGAATAATTTAATAGCATTTGCTATTATCCATGGTTTTGCTTATGCAAGCAAAGTCCAGGAACGTATCTCCCATGGATCAGGGGTTATATCGTACTAAGATTGTGAGAAACCAGAGTTAAAACCTTTCACTTAGCCATAGAAATTCACCAAATGTACAAATTATACTCTCAGTCAACCACAGAGGAAAGCAAAGGCAATCCCCCTGAACAAACTTACCAAGAAAACTCTCATAAAGTGAATAGATATCGAATCTGCTGTAGACTTTAATACAAAATTTAAAGGAGTGGAACCCTATCCACCAAAACAGGGTTGGCATGTTTGACAGCTCTTTTAAAACTTGGACTCTATTACTTGTGAAGGGAAAAATGAGATGGCTCCCAAGGAAATTGATGGATGGATGTGAAAAAATATTGTTTATCTATTTATTTTTATTTACAGTATTTTTACCCCACCCTTCTCACCCCACAGAACACACATATGGCAAACATTTAATGCCGATTATACAATTAACAAGGACAGGCAACACAAACAGAGGTAAAGGTAGCTTTTCCCTTATTTCTGGCATCTTATTTCTGGCATCTTGATTTTCTCAAGGGTGCCTTTATTACCTCCCTGCTAAAAGTGGTACCGATCTTATCTACTCACATTTCTGATTTTGACCTGCTAGGTAGGCAGATGAGCTGGGCCTAATGATGGGTGCTCACCCCGATCTGGGCTCAAACTCTTGACCTTCCAATCAGCAGGATTTTTCTACAGTACAGTGATTTATCCTGCTGTGCTAAGCCC